AGTAATCAAGGCTCTGCAAGGTGTGAGGTTCTACACTTGGAAAAAGTCTGAATGTCTCTTCATCCATTTGGCATGTACCTTGTAAAGGATAGTTCAATCATTTGAAATGGTAATGGGATTCGTTTCATGAAGATCCTTGTGTTCCAGTATCTTATCCAAGTGAAACGTTAATACTTACCCACAGGTTAATAATTAAGCCTCATTTTTATTATATTTGGAATGGGACAAGCCCAATCTCTTAATTAAACCTAAACATGAGTTGCACAACTTAAACCGTGTGGCAGGAATTGTGATGAACAAAAAAGTAAATCTATACTGTATAAAATACTAGTATAGATTAAAGGGGTAGCACAAAAAATATATACAACCTGTAGATAATACAAGAAACTTCCTTCACAAGATCTAAAAAATAAAAGTCACACAATAGTGAAGCATGTACAGTCAATGTATAATGCACTCCCGGAGGTAGAGAACTTACAGGACCAAACTGTAGATCTGAACTTGTCTCCCTTCCATAGGGTATGTGGATAAAAGGTTCTTCTCTCAGGAAGCTTGTATATACGGACCAAAGGTGCAAATTCAAGACGCTCAATCCTCAGAAGAAAAAGAGGTATATAGAGCAGTATTGTAGATAAAAATTAATTTATTTATACAAAATGTACTTACATCAAATAAAGTTCATAGCAGCATGTCACCACTAACAAGTGGTACCCAGGAGAAGGAGTCTCTCTGTAGCAGAATATCCAACGCGTTTCGTCTTTTGAAAGACTTCTTCAGGGATAGAGAATTAAAAATTCTATTTTCTTTATATAGCCTTCACCACTTGAAATTGCCGCGGAAAATTCATTCACTTCCGGGTTCGGACTTCTCGGTTTTTGATTGGACATCCATCGTGATCACTTCCGGTGGATGTAACAAAATGTTTTTATTTCCGCGTTCCAGGCTGGAACGCATGGCGTCCATAACGTGCGGCTAGATGTATTCATTTCCGCGTTCCAAGTTGGAACGCATGGCGTTCATAACGTGCGGCTCTATGCCATGACACTTCCGCGTTCCACCGTGGAACGCACGGACAAACCCAGGCGCACAAGCTGCATTTGGGGCACCGAACGTCCCAAAGTGGGACACAGGGAGAAAATACCAATGATCATCTGTTTACATAATATACAAAACAAAGGAATATAAAAACAATAATATGTCTGTCAATATATGGATAACATCCAAGTACTATATGAAACACAAACTAAAAAATACATAATATAAACATGTATATGTATATAGAAGAATGGAGTATATATATACCCAAATCCATATCTAAATATACATCCATATCTAAAAACCATACCTATAAAAATATATATATACAAATAAGGAAAAAAACAAAACATAAAAAATCAAACATGTAACATAAATAATTACAAAAGGCCCGCCAGATCAATATCTTGATTAAGACCTCTCTTAAGGGTATTAAGTGTGTAAATCCAAAAGGCCTCTTTTTTGGCTAGATCATTAGTTCTATTTCCCCCTCTCCAATGGGGAGTTACTTGATCTATACCAATAGCAATAAAGGTAGACCAATCAAATAGATGACAAGAATTACAATGATTTGGGACACTATGTTCCATTTTTTGGTTTCTAATATTATTAAAATGTTCCCGGAGTCTAGTGTGTAGGGTCCTGGTGGTTCTTCCCACATACTGAGCTCCGCAACCACATTGTAAAAGGTAAATCACATATGTGGATGTACAATGGATACATTTCTTAATAGTATATGTTTGATTAGTATAAAATCCCACAAAAGAGGTAGATTTTCTTTTTTGATAAACACATGTGGAGCATGTTCCACATTTATGAAAACCTGGAGTTTTTGTGGATTGTAAAAAGTTTTTTGAATTTGGACCTTTAATCAATTTTGGTAACAAACTAGGTGCCAATTTATTTTTAAGGGTGTCTGCCTTCCTATATATAACTACAGGCCTTTCTGGAATTTTATCTCCTAAAACATCATCTCTTTTTAAAATGGCCCAGTGTTTTTTAAGGATTTTTTCAATTTTTTTGGCTTCAGAACTGTACTTGGTAATAAATGCAAAATCTTTGTAACTATAGTTATTTTTGTTTTTATTTTTATGGTTTAAATTTTTATCTTTCAAAAATTCTGTACGATCTTTGTCCTTTATTTTTGCAATATCATCTTGTATATGGTCTATATTATACCCTTTTTCCACATATCTGTTTTGTATTAATTTTGATTGCTCTTCAAACATTTGAACACTAGAACAATTTCTTCTCATTTGAGTTATTTGGCTTTTAGGGATATTGTTTAGCCATACTGGATGGTGTAAACTAGTCTTTTTTATTGCTGTATTGCAATCAGTTTTTTTAAAGAAGGTTTTTGTGTTCAAAGTATCATTTTCTACATATAAAGTTAGATCCAGAAAATCTATGGTAAACGGATGAATGTTATGGGTAAAATTAAGATTATAGTCGTTAGAATTAATACTTTCAATAAATCTTTCTAGACTCCGGACATCTCCTTCCCAAATAATAAGTACATCATCGATGTAGCGCCGCCATAGGACAAGGCTCCCCCCCATACAAGGTCCCAGCTGGATGCATGAGGCTTCCCAATGGGATACATATAAGTTGGCGAAACTTGGGGCAAACCTTGTCCCCATGGCGACGCCACATCGCTGCAAGAAAAAAGCAGTATCAAACCAAAAAAAATTATTTTCCAAAACAAATTGGATACAGGACACCAAAAAATCGATCTGAGTGGAGTTTAAAACATGTGGTAGGACTAGAACGTCTCTGATAACCTCCAAACCCTTAACATGAGGGATATTGGAGTACAGGGAGGTAACGTCCACTGTAGCTAATATATAAGATGGTTTCCAAATAAATGACTGTAGGAATTGTGATGTCCGTCCTATTGGATCATGGGCGGGGCGTTCAACATGTCTATGGAATGGGAAAACAATAACAAATTCATAGAGGCAATTATTATTTCTGTGGCAAGTACAGTAGAGGAGATAAAACCAAAAGTTTGTATGTGGCTTGTTGTTTTCTGGAGCAAACGAGGTGGTCACCTAGTATCCCTATTGCTCCACCCCTGGGTGAGGCGTGGCAATTCACAGGGTATATCTCCTGTGATCCTGAAGTGTGTTTGTGTACTTGCTTGGGGCCAAGATCTAATTTTGAGTGAGTCACCATCTTTCCTTGCCAGAGACCCCCTGGACAGAAGTTGTACTTTGAAAACCTAAGTGAGTAATTAGGACTTCTGTATTTTATCCTTTTTGTTTTTATCTGTTGTTGGTGTAAATAATTTGTTTATCATATATTGTTATATGCACTGTGACTATTTTTTGCTCATAATAAACATTCATTTATTAAGTTCTGCCTTTGTCTGGTTAAGAATCACGTTACCTGAAGAGACTAGTTAGTATTTTTGTAATTCCTTGAATATTGTACTAAGTAATATTTGGTGGGTTTTATTGTTGATTTACCTGGGGGACCAAGGCACTCCATTTATAAATTGTCTTGGTGGTGGCAGCGTTAAAATAGTAATAGTTATATTATTATGTTTAAGTGTGGGTGGTGTTAAGGTGGATTTTGTCATTATTTCCGGTCTAGTGCAGACAAATAGTGAACTTTAACCCTTTCACCACCACAACTATGTCACGCACACTCTTGGAGTAGGGTGCGCTCGTGACATAAAACACTGCACATATGAAGTTAATTTTAATTATGTGCTGGGGGCTAGTTGCTATCACAGTGCCCATACAGTGCAGGTGCACGAGGTGCGTTCCTATGTAGTCTGCATACTTACTGCAAGCACTTCCTCCGTCCCTTTAAAATGCACTCACTCCTTTTTCTGGCATCCTTGCCAATGTCAGCTGTTGCATACCGGAGCCTTTTTATAGCTCTGCCTCCTCAAACCAGTTTTATAGTGAGGACGTGTGTGCGTTGTCATGTTAGTGACTGCCCTCTTAAAACTATATAATGCAGTGCCCTGTCATGGTTTGCATCATATCGTTATCTGAGAGCACGTTTTTTCGTGGTATTATTGGCTTTTCTGACCATGACTTGTTTCTTGACCATTCTCCTATCTGTTGTCCCTGACTTTTTACTTGTTCTATTATTTATGCTACTTTCTTTCTTTCTCCCTGACCTTGGTTTCTTTATGCTGCTTTATTTTGCGTTAAGACCGACCACTCTTAGGCCCAATAATACGCTTTTATCCACCTTTATATAGATCATCATTGATTACTTAAGTTCTATATGCTGGGTTACCTAATGTCAATTCTGTGCATATTTTGCACCTGTAGTCAGCGCACAAAGTATCCTTAAAAACACACATGCTAAACACACATACATATAAGGCATCACACATATTATGAACACATACATCGTTTTTATATGTAAAAGAATGATAAGGTAAATATGGGACGGGAGTGCATAACTAATTTTAATTGTCTCTCAAGCTTCATTGTGTTTCAGGCCAGATAGCATGGAATATTATATATATACCACAAGAAAGAAAAGTTTTAGCAGGAACACCTATCTCAGACTCCCCAGGTAATACACTTCATATAAAATACATTTTCTTTGTTTAAAAGTAACACTTTTTTTTTAGACTATACTGTTATTAATAATAATAATCTCTAATTTGTTTACATTAGTTATATTTATGTAGGGATAATATAACCTAGCAATTGGCTGCCGGGTGATCACACCTTTGGTCATATTGTGGCCACAATAAACGTAAAAGTTCCAGATAATGTTTCTGTTTTATAATTGTAACTAAAACTGGCACAACAATTTTTTACTGAACACAAGCTCCACATATCTCTGGGAATTAAACAACAAACGCATAGAAGATTCTTTAGCAGATTATCCTTCCAGATGGTAGCTGACTTTGCTAGGCTCAATCCCATTAAGCTAGCAAGACATGTATTTATCTCAAATACAATGCCTTCTTGCATGCTTGGCTAGAGAACAGAGATAATATTACTGCTACAACCCGTCATACTGTAGAATGCACCAATGCCTCTCAAGATCAAAGTATCGGAGACTAAGGTATAGAGATATGTTCGACACCCTATGTTTATACAATTTGAAACTATTTTTGTATTTACTTTCCTTTGAAAAACATATTTGCGCTGATAATTCAAGAATGTATTTGCAGGGATTTTGTGTCTCAAAACGTAAAAGAAAAACTTTTTGACCTAGCTAATTTTCCCATATTTCTTGCACTTATTCACTAAACAATGATTTTGATGAGCTGGGGAACATACTGCAACATTTAGAATAATATAACTGAGTTGGGAAGCAGTTTGCATCAAATAATGCAATCATGTTGTTTAATAAGTCATAGTATAATAATCTCAGGTTTAATGGGGTAAATGATTATTCTGGTTCTGTCAGATGTATTCACCAATGATTGAATTGTCCAGAAATTCAAATTTTATGTCAGAAAAACTGATCTAAAACCATAGCTGAGAGTTTAAAATTTTACCAATTTGCTGTTTTAGATTACAACTCTTTTGTGAATTTACTTTGAATTCCCAACAAATTACACAATCGTGAATAACCATACCTGTTTGCATTTAATTACTACTTTAACCGAAATTCTGCTTACGATGCCAACTACCCCTTGGTAATGTGACACCTAGCCCCTCTCCACCTTTCTTTATCAAGCTATGGCCTCTTGTCATTCGTATTCTCCAAATAAATCTCTTTAAAACTCTTTTAAAGCTTTAAAACATATGTTTTTACATGGCTGACAAAATATTTCATTTATAAAGAAGCTTAAAGTTTAACTAGTTTTTCGTAAAAACTTAGCATTAAGCCTACAAAAGCCTTTAGGGTGTATTAGAATTTCACATAAATAAGTAATCACTTTGAAGTCCAGACAGCTTGATTAAAATCAGAAAACAGTCACTTCATATTAATGTTAGAGTGACTCCTCAGTATTTCTTTCTGGATTTATGAATTATTAGTGGCATAAAAAGATGTTACTGACATTTCCATTTTTTATTTAAAAGTATAATCACATTAAAAAAAATGTATTATTTCTAAAGCAGAAACCTTCAAGACATATATCTTAACAAACACAGCGATTCCCACTCTATAAAAACATCTACCACCTATACGGAGCATTAAAAAAAAAAAAAGCTTCTAAATACTAACTATTGTTTCAAGCTACTAAAAATGTTTATGCCTTAACCCCTTCACTAGAGAGCAAATTTTAATTAAAAAATACATATTAGCATAACATTTACTTGAAGCAATTGATGCATATCTAGCATATAAACATATAACACAGCAATGTGTGCAGATTGCTTGGTAGACACATTTTCAATTAAAATTATGCATATTTACACAATTTTTATTTTTCACTTATTTGTTATTCCTTTCTATATAATATTTTGACAACTAAAAGCTTTAGACTGCATACAGAGTAATTTGCCTTGCAATATTTAATAGTATAAATGTAAAAGTAAATTTTTTTAAATGTATAGTTAATGTGATAAAAATGGTCAAATAAATTGTTTATAGGTACTTACGAGGACATTGAAGGCATTACTTGCGTCTTACTAAAAAGGGAACAGCATGTAAACAGAAAGTCTGCATTTGAGTATAATGCCCACATACAGTAAATGCATTTAATATATTTCTAAAATAAAGGTGTTTAAAACTGCTATGCAATCTTTATTTGTATTTATTAATGTTAGGCGGACAGTAAAATGGTAGAGTCCATTCTTCCCCCCCTGACACCCCATCATTGCCTGTAGAAATTATGACCCATGGAAACTTCCTGTACTGTTTAAAAGCAGAGAGTGAACTTACATTTTCAGTAAATGTACAGGCATTATATCAGTGACTAGTGACTTCTGGCAGAGGTGTTTGTTATTTTACAGGTTTACAGGCAATCATGCATAAAGTATAAACTGTGGCAGAAAGGTCTGCCCAAATTACTGGCTGGTCAGTCTGTCGTAATTGCATGCCAAGCTGCCTTTTAATCATTCAGGCTAGCTCCAGAAGGACAAACAAAAGACCTATATAGCGCGACCTATATATTTTCTTTTGTTTGATATAGCGCGACCTATATATTTTCTTTTGTTTAATATAGCGCGACCTATATATTTTCTTTTGTTTGCCCTTTTATGTGAGGAGTTGAGAGGGAACCTCATTTTTATAGGTTGCTGCTTCCTTATCTGTTCTTCAACTTCTATTGATTTTTTAGCGCTGTCCCACTATCCTGTTTTTTAACTAGCTCCAGAAGGAACACAATTTGGGTTAGAGGCCTACCTGACAATTCTACACCTATTACTTCATTTCATTGCTAACACAATTTTAACGACTGTCTATATTGTTGTTTTGTATATAATGAAAAGGACCAATTAAATGAACACCATCTCTTTACTTTAAAACAGGGATTTTACTCACCTTTTTTATGGTGCCGTGCCATTCTCACTGTGGCTGGCCCTGCCTTGCTCAAGTTTGATGACCTTAGACAATATAGGAAAGCATTGGGAGGCAATTGTACATCTAGGCAAAATGCCGTACTGTGCATCTTTATGAAGAACATTCAGCGTTTCCATGTATAGCATGGAGACGCTGAACAACTGTGCTGCACACTATGCAGCACTGACCAAGGAAGCACCTCTAGTTGCCATCTGAGTGACAGCTACTAAAGGTGTTAATAGGTAGTAATGTTAACACTGCCTTTTTTCTTAAAAAGCCTGCAGGGACATGAAATAAACATCAGAACAACTTCATTTATATACTGTAGTTGTTTTGGTTATTAGTATGTTCCTTTTATTATTCTGACCCCGCTACTATACTCTATCAGGGTATTTCTGTGCATCTTATATTTTTTTAGCCTTGGGGCCGTTGGCCTGTTGGTCCTTGGGGTGGATGTGCTGTCTACATTTGCTGCAGCAAGCTGGCCTCAGTGGCCGGTGCTTACCACTCCTCACCTTTTTTTGGTTGAAATATATATTGCTATACATAAGTTTTCCCAATAAAATAATGGATGCCAAAATGTATTTTGCTACTTCTAGCATCCTCAGTTGGCTGTCTTCACTACTTCAAGCTTCCTCAGCAAAATCATTTTTGCATTCATTATTTTATTAGGACAGCGTGTCTATGTGCAATATACAGTGCTCAAAAAAATAAAGGGAACACTTAAGCAACACAATGTAACTCCAAGTCAATCACACTTCTGTGAAATTAAACTGTCCACTTAGGAAGCAACACTGAGTGACAATCAATTTCACATGCTGTTGTGCAAATGGGATAGACAACAGGTGGAAATTATAGGCAATTAGCAAGACACCCCAATAAAGGAGTGGTTCTGCAGGTGGTGACCACAGACCACTTCTCAGTTCCTATGCTTCCTGGCTGATGTTTTGGTCACTTCTGAATTCTGGTGGTGCTTTCACTCTAGTGGTAGCATGAGACGGAGTCTACAACCCACACAAGTGGCTCAGGTAGTGCAGCTCATCCAGGATGGCACATCAGTGCGAGCTGTGGCAAGAAGGTTTGCTGTGTCTATCAGCGTAGTGTCCAGAGCATGGAGGCGCTAAGAGGAGACAGGCCAGTACATCAGGAGATGTGGAGGAGGCCCTGGGAGGGCAACAATACAGCAGCAAAACCGCTACCTCTACCTTTGTGCAAGGAGGAACAGGAGTAGCACTGCCGGAGCCCTGCAAAATGACCTCCAGCAGGCCACAAATGTGCATGTGTCTGCTTAAATGGTCAGAAACAGACTCCATGAGGGTGGTATGAGGGCCCGATGTCCACAGGTACTTACAGCCCAACACCGTGCAGGACGTTTGGCATTTGCCAGAGAACACCAAGATTGACAAATTTGCCACTGGCGCCCTGTGTTCTTCACAGATGAAAGCAGGTTCACACTGAGCACATGTGACAGACGTGACAGAGTTTGGAGACGCCGTGGAGAATGTTCTGCTGCCTGCAACATCCTCCAGCATGATCGGTTTGGCAGTGGGTCAGTAATGGTGTGGGGTGGCATTTCTTTGGGGGCCGCACAGCCCTCCATGTGCTCGCCAGAGTTAGCCTGACTGCCATTAGGTACCGAGATGAGATCCTCAGACCCCTTGTGAGACCATATGCTGGTGCGGTTGGCCCTGGGTTCCTCCTAACAATGCTAGACCTCATGTGGCTGGAGTGTGTGAGCAGTTCCTGCAAGACGAAGGCATTGATGCTATGGACTGGCCCGCCCATTCCCCAGACCTGAATCCAATAGAGCACATCTGGGACATCATGTCTCGTTTCATCCACCAACGTCACGTTGCACCACAGACTGTCCATGAGTTGGCAGATGCTTTAGTCCAGGTCTGGGAGGAGATCCCTCAGGAGACCATCCGCCAGCTCATCAGGAGAATGCACAGATGTTGTAGGGAGGTCATACAGGCACATGGAGGCCACACACACTACTGAGCCTCATTTTGACTTGTTTTAAGCACATTACATCAAAGTTGGATCAGCCTGTAGTGTGTTTTTCCACTTTAATTTTGAGTGTGACTCCAAATCCAGACCTCCATGGGTTGAAAAATGTGATTTCCATTTTTTAATTTTTGTGTGATTTTGTTGTCAGCCAAAGTATTTCAGAAGAATATTTAATTCATTCAGATCTGGGATGTGTTATTTTTGTGTTCCCTTTATTTTTTTGTGCAGAGTATATATACATATGTATATATATATTTTTTAACTATTTATTGTTTTATCAAATTGATGTTAAATAAGGTGTTCATTTAAGCACTACTGGTATCCCACTGATTCCCAGGTCCAGAACCTGTCTAAGGGGGAGGATCACCCCACAAACTGACAAAAATATTTTAACCTGATAGCCAGGGATCCAAAGGCTCTGTCTAAGCTGAGCTGAATACCATAAATTTACCAACTGTGCATTATTTAAACATACTATATAAAAGCTTACATTTTCATCAATTTGTAACTCCCAAGTGACCACAGACCTGAAGTCTTAACCCTCTCCTTTTATATAACAAAATGGCTATCTCTATGATCTCTAAGGACCTGGCTGACTATTTAACTCTTAATTCACCCCCGTCCTCACTGGGAGCTACAGAGAAACCAATTATATGAGGCAAACAGATCTTAAAAAAAGCAGCATCCACCTCTTATTAAGTATAATGGATTAACTCCAAAGTCTAGAACAACTAATACTATCCTTTAGCAACCAGTCGCAGTACAGGATACTATCCCATCACATATTCGGGGCCAATGCAAACCATTGTGTGGAAATCTATTCACAAACCAGGCTTTACATGCGGTTAGACTAGAAGAAAGAAGATTTTGTCTAAGGAAAAGGAAAGGGTTTTTTTTACTGTAAGAACAATAAGGATATAGAATTCTCTGCATGAAGAAGTGGTTTTATCAGAGTCCATACAGATGTTCAAACAGCTACTAGATGCATACTTGCAAACACAGAATATTCAAGGATATAATCTTTCAATGTAGGGTAATAACTGCTTGATCCTAGCATAAATTTGACTGCCATTCTGGGGTCAAGAAGGAATTTTTTACTAGCTTGTTGCAAAATTGGAAGTGCATCAAACTGTTTTTTTTTTTTTGCCTTCTTTTGGATCAACAGCAAAAAACAAATGTGTGGAAGGCTGAACTTGGACTTGGACGCAAGTCTCTTTTCAGCTATGTAACTATGTAACTGTGTAACTATGTAACATGTAACATAGGCTCACAGATAAAACTAAGCCTTTGATGTGAAGCAGGCAAACCTTTTATGAGAATGCTAATAAGATGACTCTCTTTTAGCCTCTTGGCTTCAAACTTGAATTGCAACAAATATATCTTCAAAAACTGCTTCCCAGTGGTGAAATAACCCCAACAAAGATAGGTGACATTTACCTCCTTTACTTTCAATGTCTATATGATCACTTTTCAACCTTAGATTAAATTTTAATTGCCCAATAGACTGACTGATTCCCAACTCCCCTTTCATAATGTTGAGGCACACAACATTTTGGCTGTCTCTATAGACAATGAGAAGTCCTAAAGACAATTAAATCCTCTAATCCTAACGAAAGTTCAGGTCCAGATGGATTCACAGCTCTTTATTATAAGGAACTTTGTTTTATCTTACTTCCATATCTGAGGAATATGTTCAACCACATTTTGAAGGGAAACTATTTCCCTTTGAAATGTTAACAGCCAAATATAATTATTGCCTTAACCTAAAAAAAAACCATAATTTAGACCCTGGACATTTCTGTCCTATCTCAGTACTTAGTATCAACATTAAGCTTTTAGATAAACTCATTGTGAATCATTTACATTCTTATTTGTCCTCTTTTGTCCACCCAAACAAATTAGACTTCATCCCTAATAGGCAGGACATGGAGAATGCCTGTAGGTCTATAGTTCTAATTTGGTTTGCTCAACACAAACTTATCCCTATGGGCATTATCTCCCTGGATTTTGAAAAGACCTTACCTCCTCTGACCTTAACTATGTTCAGTCCTTCCCCACTTCACTTCCCCATTTTGTAAACTGCTCACTGCTCTAGATAGCTAACCTTGGATAGTCTTCACCTTCCTAATATAAGGATATTAGGAAGGTGAAGATTATCCAAGGTTAGCAATCTAGAGCAGTGAGCAGCTCCATCCTTTTGTATATGTAATGGAACTCAACAAAGATGCTCGCTATACTGTCTTCTATTTGCTCTCTCGCTTGAACCCCTATTTCAGGCTATATAATGCCAGTGAGATAGCTCAGTTGGCTAATGCATCATCAGTTAAATTGGGTCCCCTGGATGTTGGGCAAAAGTAACAATTCCAGGATGTACTTGGAAACCAGAGAATATCAGAATGTACCTTTCCTGGTTAAATACTTTGTTATTATTATCATTATTATTATTATTATTATATGTCTGATATTGAGGTACTTCAGATTTGTGATGAAAACGTAATGTTGCTGTGCATGCAGATGATATATTTCTCTTTTTTATCCTATTCTCTCTTCTTTCTAAAATCTGCTCCTCACTTCATTTTAGAATCTGCCCCTCTTACCTATGTTGGCTTAGAATTAGCTAATGGCCTTGAGACTTTGTACTCCCTTAATTATGCCCCCTTCTTATTAAAGCCATTGTAGATTTACAACAAATAAATCTGAATGTGTCATGGCTTTATTAAATTGATAGACGTATGCACAGGGAAAACCCAATAGTTCTAAGCTACGGTGGATAGGAGACCATTAAATTCCTTAGGTTAAAATAGTCAATTATTTATGCTGTATGTATAATTATGGTAATTAAAAGGAAGGATAAGTGATGGAATAGGATAGTACCTTACAAATCTAAACATGAGACTTATGGAAACATTGTTTAGACGATATGTCCTTATTAGGTAATGAAATTTCTGGCTACCAGAACAAAACTACAAAAGGTACACTGCTCATAACGCAATAATTAACATGAATAAGTCTAGCTTTTGGGAAAGCAGTAATATTTCACAATATTTATGCTTCTCTCAAAGTCTGATCTAAAAGAAAAAATAAAATCACCCTAATTATTAATAAAAAAAAACAAGGTCAGTCATCAAGAATTGTCAAGAATCATCAGCCCTAGCAGACTTATACACTATATACCTAAATGTGTAACTGAAATTAAACAATGTAAGAAGCACCAGTTAAAATCACATTTAAATAAAATATAACAAAAAAGAAAATAATAAGGGGTATGAATCAGCTGGACATAGATGGAGGCTGTCCTGACATTAAACTCTAAGTAGCAGTGGAATAAATAGGAAAGAATGAAACTTAACCCAGCATAAGTGAGGCAGGATAAGCCCTTAATTGAGAATCCTAAAACTACTAACCCTGAACTAAGGTCCCAGCTCAGCAAGGAATTAGTAGGCTAAATGTCTAATGTCCCTTCCCTGACTCCTAAGGTATCAAACTATAAGCTAAACATATCCCTTTATCACCAACACTATATCAAGTGCCAATCAATCTGTAGTGAGATTAAAAAGAAATAGAAAAAAACTGCCTTATACGCGTTTCATTGCATTAGTGTGCGCCTTAATCTGGGGCTAAATTTGAATGAGCTCCCAAACTCACTTTATAGCAGTGAGCGAGGTTTTTGGCACCACCCCTTGAGTCGCTATCTCCTATGTCACTGGAGGAGGAGCTACCCACTTCCTCCTAATTTACGGGGCAGAGCTACAAGTGTGCACCCCTGCACTAATTCCCTTCAAATGCTCTCTTCCATGTAACAGTAAAAGAAAAGGTCAGCCTAGAAACACTCCACAATGCCTCCTGAATATTGAGTGAAGTTGCGTCATTCCAATTCGTGGAGCTGCTTGTACTCCATCCGAAACTGTCACACTATCAAATATGCATAACGTGGGGATTTAAGATAGTTAATACTACTTCTAAGGTTATTAAAGGGACACTCCAGAACCCTGAATTTTTTTTCATTCTGGAAAAAGTGCAGATTTCAATGGAAATTGACACTTGCATAACCCCCTGGTTTTTCAAGCAGACAACAGGTCCTATTGCATCCTAGCTTAGTTAGCTTAGTTGCACTGAACTCAAGAGGCAGCAATTGCCCAGAGCACCTGCCATGCAAAGACTTCTCATTGAGCTGCATTGGGAAGTCTATGATTGGACAGTCACATAAACACTTAGTGGGGTTAGAAGGGGAGGGCTTGCAAAGAGAGCAGAAAAGAGATCTGCAGTTTTTTGCAAGCTGTTTTTAGATATAACCCCAATGAAAAATGTATAATTAAATGCATGCACCTTTTCCTTTGGGGTATATCCACTAAACAGTATTTTTTATTTATTTTGTATTTGGACAGTGGAGTGTCCCTTTAAGGAGTCAGGGTAGGTAAGGTTTACTTTTATCTCTATCTACAGCTCCTGATTGATTATTGTTGCTGGAAAGGTATAGAGCCCCGTGTCTATTATGTATGCATGTACTAAATTGAGGAGTTTGGGCTTACTAAATCTCCTTAATTATTATTAAGCTGCCCAGCTTACTCAAGTAAAACACTTGCATACTTTACCCCACACGAGCAGTTGGGTAGCTTTTTTCGTAACAGAAGTGTGGGCAGATAGTATGCTACCTAATATGACTACAATTAACCATAAAACAAACGAGACAATGGAATATGACAAAATGACTCCAGTGGTTCATGGTACTCGCAAAAATTTCCACAAAATTTGGGATCTTTGGCTGTCATCCATCTATTGCTTTTAAGCCAAGCTCTTGACATCCCCGTCACCTTTGTAATTTATCCTTTATTTTCTTCCACGCAGTCCACTTTCACCATTTATTTTCTTACCCCTACCCTTATGCTGGATGCAATGTACTTTATGGTACCATTTTATGTCCTATACATTATACCTGTTACACAAGTGCTGCTACTGTGAATATTATTTACACTGATTTCATCATCTTCTCAGCATTTGTGAAGGACTTCACCAATTTAAAAATGTAATTTTTCCATTCTGATGATTGTGTTTTAATCAGTGCATGTCATCATGATAAATCATTTGTTACATAAAGAATTGAAAAAAAGAGAGAGAGAGAGAGTATAAAGGATGGATTAGGAGAGATACACAAGGGATCAGGGTGGCTGCCAAAAAAATGGATGCAATGTACTTTATGGTACCATTTTATGTCCTATACATTATACCTGTTACACAAGTGCTGCTACTGTGAATATTATTTACACTGATTTCATCATCTTCTCAGCATTTGTGAAGGACTTCACCAATTTAAAAATTTCATTTTTCCATTCTGATGATTGTGCTTAATCAGTGCATGTCATCATGATAAATCATTTGTTACATAAAGAATTGAAAAAGAGAGAGAGAGAGAGAGAGTATAAAGGATAGATTAGGAGAGATACACAAGGGATCAGGGGGCGCAAAAAGACACACAAAAGTTTACAATTTCAAGAGAGAAGTGCCAACAAACATATACATGCATGCATACATAGGCTGGGCCAAGCCCTCCAGGGTGGCTGCCCAAAAAAATGTAAATCTAATTTTTTGGCATGGCAACGACTAATGATAAGTGACAGACTGACAGACACTAGAGGTACTTTCGCTTCACTGACCGAATAAAATTTGGTCATATGATGTTGCAGCTCATAGGAAAGCTCTGTAAGAAACATTGGATTGGAGCATCGGCAGAGGAAAATATGCTTCCTCAATGACATTGAGGGGGAAGAGGACAGCTTTAAAGGGAGTCTCATGCTGGAAAAAGGTAAGTAAAAATGTTTTTTTTTTTTTAATACTTTCCTAACACTATAGTATACGTGTACTTTAAACCTGTAAGGATGGAGTTAATTGTAGACGTTCTGATCAAAACAAAACGTAAACAAAACCTGGAATTTGCGCTATATGTCTGTTAAACCATAATTCACCTCTTTCATATTAAGTGCACCAACACTTATATATATAATTTTGTTCAGGAGAAACAGGGCTTTCATTTCACATCAACTATTCATATATATATATATAAAATTAACTATTTATTATGAATAAAATCTAAAATGAGTGACAAATTAAGATTTTTTTTTATTTATTTTTTATTTTACGTGGCATTTTAACTGCGAATGTCATAATACTGTTACCTTTTACTGCAACTAAATACACATATTTGTATTCAGCGATGTATCACGAGTGCAACAGTACCCACCATGAACAGATTTTATGTGGTTTTGGAATGTTACAGGGTCAAAAATCACACGTTCCATTTTTCAGTTTATACACATTGAAACTTGCTAGATTAGTAATATTGCCGTATGGTAGCCCAGGAATGAGGATTACCCCCATAATGGCATACCATTTGCAAAGTAGAGAACCCAGGTTATTCAATATGTGGTATGTCCAGTCTTTTTTAGTAACCACTTAGTCACAAATACTGGCCAAAGTTAGTGTCCATATTTGTTTTTGTGTTAAAAAAGCAAAACACAAATATTTGGCCAGTGTTTGTGACTACTAAAAAAGACTGGACATACCCCACGTGCAATACCTTGGGTTGTCTACTTTAGCAAATGGTATGGCATCATGTGGGTAATTCTCATTCCTGGGCTACCATACAGTCTCAAGGGCAACATCCAATCTGGCAAATTTCAATGGGAAAAAACTTAATGCAAGCCTTATATTTCACTCTGTAACTTTCCAAAACAACATAAAACCTGTACATGGGGGTACTGTTATATTCAGGAGACTTTACTTAACACACATTTTGATGTAAAAAATATCTTACAACAATAATATTGTCAGTGAAAGTGACGTTTGTGTGTGAAAAATGCAAAAAAAATCACTTTCACTGACAATATCATCGTTGTATTACAAAATACCATTTTGAAAAACTAATATTTGTGTTACGCAAAGTCTCCCGAGTAAAACAGTACTCGCCATTTACAGGTTTTATGGTGTCTTGGAAAGCTACGTGGTTAAATATAGGACTTGCAAATTAAATTCTCTGGACTTTCTGCCTGGGTTGTCAGGCATGTCCCTCAAATTTTAAATAATAAAATCACATAATTATGCTAAAAGATTACATAAATATACACATAGGATTTAAATATATGTATACATATATGTATTAAATTCTATCATATACTTATGTAATCATTTATGTAATTATATATGTATATATATATATATATATATATATATATATATATATATATTTGCAATTATTTGTATATATATATATACAAATAATTGCAAATATATATATATAAAATGGAATTCTAAGTGTATTTTGTTACCAATATATACATTAATATCAAAATACAGTTAGATTGAAATTACATTTGCATATAATTTATTTATATAATTTATTTTTTATTTTATTTATTTATAACTGCAATATATGTACATATACTGCAATGTTTTCATTAGGGTTAATCCAGCCTCTAGTGGCTGTCTCATTGACAGCCGCTAGAGGCGCTTCCGCACTTCTCACTGAGAGAAGTGAGAAGACGCCAGCGTCCATAGAAATTTCCTATGGACTGACTGAATGCGCACGTGGCTCTTGCCGCGCATGCGCATTCGGTGGAAGAGGGAGGAGAGTCCCCAGCGCTGGAGAAAGGTACTTTTAAGCAGTATACTTTTAAGCAGTATAACCCCTAACCACTATTGCCCATTATATAGTGGTATAGTGCCTGTAAGCTATGAACACCACACTCTGGTTCTGTGTCAAACCATTTTAGTTAGTTTCACTATCATTGGGAGTCTCATAGTGACATGTGGCCCAGCCCTCATATGCTTCTTTGCTAATGTGGAATTTAAACCTTTGCATTTGCAATATAAAGTTTGTCAATTACTTGAATTTGAGCATTGTGCATATGGCAAGTAAGGGGACACTCTCCAGGCATCTAGGACAGCACTCCTAAAGTACTAGTTTTATAACCACACAGTGTATATGGTGATTCGCTTTCCCCTTTAACACATAAACCTATTGTAACCACTATGGTGCTTAGACTGCTCTTTTAGTCGCTTCATTGAAACACATAAAAGTACAACTGAAGTGGTTAATAATGTAGTAGCCGTGGAACTTCCTTGTGATTACCATGCCTTTTAAAGTTGCAAGAATTCCATTCAGCCACTGATACAATCTGCAGGGAGGTTTGTTTGTTTGCTTGACAGTGAATTGTGATTAATTGATAACTTTCTGCAAAGTTATGATCAATACCCAAGTTAATAAATAAACATAAAATAATTGAATATTAGAATTTTTCAACTATAGCTGTCTACTGAATTTCTGTTTCATTTCACCAGAATAACCATATTTCACTGTTTGATAAATAAAATAGAAAGTGTGTTTTAGAATAATTTTTAGAGTAATTTACAATACTGCTATTCCAGATTCCTACATCTATTTAAAGTGCAGAGTACCCTAAGCAATGAAGTACAAAGAAACAGTTTCAAAACCTTTACACATGCACAAACGGATCTTTAAGCATATATTACTTGAAATAGGCACAAAATTAAGCATTAATATCTCCTTGATTTGTGTCCCTTGGGGAAATGTCAAGAAGTAAAAAAAAAGTCATGATGAAACATCACATATGGAATCCTTGTCTTAACTATTGCCATGTTGAAAAGCATTGAAGGGAAATGTTAAAATTTATTAGCAATACTGAACATCAAATTATCCTAATTTATTGAATTCCTGTGAGTTTCTTACTGTAGACCACAGCTCTCTTTCTTGGGGTCAGCCTTCGGAGTCCACTGTGTGAGACCATTAGACTGTTCGTACTCTTCTTTTCTTTTCAACTTGCATTAGTGTGTTGCTATTTGAGCTTTACTTTTGTTCCATTTATTTTCAAATATTTTTGTTTTTCTGTTGCTATCTCTCACTCTTGTTTCTTTCTCTGTTCCTTTTCACTTCCCCTTGTCTAAGCTTGTTGATTATATATGTAGGTTTTTTGCTGTTCCGAACAGTGTGCAGTTCTGCCTCCAATAATACGAAAAACGGTTTTAATTATTTTCTCCAACAGGTTGTCTTCCAGAATCTTTTCCTTTGTGCAGCAGTGTTTTACACAGTATACTATCTAGTCTACGTGATATGCTTCATAGCTATACGGTCAGTATAACATTACTCTCTCTTTCTCTCTCTCTCTCTCTCTCTCTCGTCATGGGAGAAAGAAAGTAAACCCTCTTTGAATTATATGGTTTTACATATGAGGACATAATAACAATCATCTGTTCCTTAGCAAGTCCTAAAATTGGGTAAATACAACCTCAAATGAACAATAACACTTGACATATTACACCGTGTCATGATTTATTTAACAAAAATAAAGCCAACCTGGAGAAGCCATGTGTGAAAAACTAAGTACATCTTGTGAAGAAAATAGACTGAGTTCGGTATTTTCTTCTGTGTTCGTGATTTTCTGCAGCATTTGGTTCATTTTGGATTTATTAGTTCGGCAGTTTAAAACTACCGAACACCGACCACCCTCCTGGCTCATTAACTTCAAAAGAACCGTCTATTAAGCGCTCTCTGGGCAGCCGCTGTTCGTGTAGCCGAATGCCACGTGGAACTGAAAATGGTGGCCATCTTGTTTGCACAAAAGGAGGCAGCAGGACTTGGTTGTCAAGTGTCTGGAACTAAAATCGGACACTCGACCTCTCGAACCACTGCTGAAACTACCAAACGCCTGCTTCCTTTAGTTGCCGAACAGCCAGGAGAGCGCCATTCGGTAGCTTGGTTCACACGAACAAGGGGAGTAATCGCTCCTATGAGCCAGGAGGATCAATTCGAGACTTTTAGTTGTTTTATGCCATTTACTGAATTGACCGACCGCACACGCTGAATTCGTGGAACTGTTTTGGGCAGGAGCCTCGTGTGTGGTCGGTAACTTATGACTTCCATACTTTTTGAGAACCCCTGAACCGATCTGGGTGAAATTTGGATATGTTGGTCCCCCAGATCAGGGCTATTGGGGATATGTAATTTGTGGGGATACCTTGTGTGGAAAGGGGTGTTCTAATTGTTGGGAAAATTGTGTGCCCTCTGCCTGGAGATAATTGAGTTATTCCTTAACTTATCTCAATATCTCCCAGGCAGAGAGAGGGTGGTGGTTACTGTAAATCTGTAAGTTGATTGGTTATTGTCTTTGTTTACTGTGGGAGGTCCTCTGGCAGGAGGATTCTCATAAAAGCCAGTGTGGCCTCAATAAAAATCATTCCTGTTACACCCTTCATGAAGTCTAGGCTCATGCTTGGCGAATATTCTACTTGCTGGAGAGAATCGACTTGGAAGCTGCATTCATTTACACTATTCCTCTATCTCCTAACTGCAGTTATAATCACTTATGCTCAGCGATTGGGAAAGGAATAGAAGACCGCAGTACCATAACCACTGCAGGTCTTAACACATCTTATAATTCAATAGCTTGCAGAACCACCATTAGCAGCATTAACTTAAAGTAATTGTTTTCTGTATGACTTCATCAGTCTCTCACATCATTGTGGAGGAATTTTATAACGTTGCCTCTGTTCAGTTTGCTGGCATTTTTTTTATGCACAGATCTCTTAAGCCTCCACCACAGCATTTCAATGAGGTTGAGGTCTGGACTTTGACTGGGCCATTGCAACATCTTGATTCTTTTCTTTTTCCGCCATTCTGTTATAGATTTGCCGGTGTGCTTGGGATCATTGTCCCGTTGCATGACCCAATTTCAGCCAAGCTTTAGCTGTTGGACAGATGGCCTCACATTTGACTCTGAAATACTATGGTATACAGAGAAGTTCATGATTGACTCAATGACTACAAAATATTCAGATCCTGTGGCTGCACACCAAGCCCAAATCATCCCTCCTCCACCACCGTGCTTGACAGTTGGTATTAGGTGTTTGTGCTGAAATTCTGTGTTTGTTTGAGCTTATCTTTCTTTACTTAGCTCCAAAGTGGCAAAGAAAAAGCATATGGAAACAAACAACCAATCAAAAATAAGCAATGTATACATGAGGTAGGATGAACCCAAGAACCTCCTCCTGTTTTGTTCACTTTGAAGTGTCTTTATATTTCTTCTTCCGTTTTCTCGCTTTTCTAGGTAAGTTTGATGGGATTTCTTTATATTTTTCCCTCATGCTCTTGTTACTTTGGGGATCCCTGCACCATTATTATTCTCTGTTGCATTGTTTGTTTGTTTGTTTTTTGTCAATCTCTCTTTATTGAAGAAAATTCAGCTGTTACAGTGCAGTAATATCATTGCATGACAATAAGTGTAACTTTCTTAACTGCAAACAGTATCTTCTCACGAACATGTGATTGCAGCTTTCCCTTAACAGTGTTAATAGTGGGTATAAAGAATAACTCAGGTTTGGTATCAGCCTGCATTAGGAAATAACATTTACCAAGCTGTATGCCCTTCAGTTCTTGCGTGCTTATAAGGGCCAGGGGTAGTTTGTCCTTAGTGCTCTTACTAGAGTCAGATCTGAACCAGCGGGTGTAATTAGCCCTCCTATGTTCCGCTAACCCTTGTGCCTGCAGGGTGTGCTAGTTCCTGTCCTCTGCTAGGGCGTAGGGCTCTATGGTGGTCTCATTTGTTTCGGTTCTTAACAGCTCTTTGGTCTGAGGAGACTCTGGGTCCAATATGCCTCCCATTCATTGCCCGTCATCCCCCTTTAAGGAGTTCAATGTCCCGTTTTGGGTTCTCTAATTCTGTTGTGCTTGGATAGTTGTTTATATTGGTCATTCGATCATCATGAGTGTATCTAGTTGTGTTAGTATAGCTCGTTGTGACTGTAAAATAGGGTTAATGCTAACTAGGGGAGGAATATCCACGGCGAGACCATGGGAAGGGAGGAGCAGAGGGGTAAAGTGTAGCAAGCAGGGGTAAGAGTTGCAGTTTGTCAGGTATAGCAGTAGGAAGGGTGGGGGGGAAGGAATCGGCTTAGGTCCTCCGTACCTGGGGGTGTATAGCCACTCTGCGCCCCTCCAGTGTGCCTAGGCGTGCGTGCCTGTTGCCCGTCCTCGCCGCCGAGCGGCTCAATCGCGGTCCCATCTCTCTCCCCGAGGTCGGCCCCGGGTGCAGTTCTATTCGCTTTGATGCTGTCTCCCTGATATAAACATGAGCCACGGGGTCCATGTCTGTAGATAGCGTTCCGTGTTTCCCCTGAGTGAGGCCGTAAGTTGCTCCATTCCGTGGATTTCTTCTACTTTGTCCATCCATTGCCGGAGGGTGGGCACCTGTGGGGTCTCAGCGGGATTAGCAGTTTGGCTGCGTTCAACAGGTGCTTGGTCAGCGATTTTTTTTTTTATATTTCGATGGGGGCAATGAGGTGTGGTGTAGGAGCATCTGGAGTGGCTGGTATGGGACATCCGTGTCCAGTATGTCTTTGATCTGTGTATGGATTTGTTGCCAATAGGGTGCCCCTGTTGCATTGTTACTCTCCATTTAGTATTTCTTGATTTTTGTTTCAGATTCCCACTATTTATTTTTTTTTATTCATCCATTTGTTGAATTTTTTGTTGGATCGGACTGTAGCTTTTGCCATGTTGTGCTTCTCATATTCAGTGCCAGTCAAGCCGTGGCTTCTTCAGACTCGCTGGTGGTGTGGTGGCCATCTTGGATCACTTGTTGGTGAGTCAAGAAAACAGGTGCTGATCTTTTCTATTGACCTGGCTGCCACTCTGGATGCAAAACCCCCGCTTTTGCCGCTGGATCTCTGCTCCTGCTATCCACCATTTACTGTTATTGGCATTGGGGCCATCACTGGTTGGTGCATTTAAACTTGTGTCATTACTGTGACTGGCAGATAAAAGACTTAATTTGGGCTTCTTGGGTGAGCCCCACTGCTAATTTGATTTCTGTGTCTAATCCTGATTGTATGTTGCTCATTGAGGCCTGCCTTAGAAGCCTCCTAATTCTGTGTGAGTCACAGTTTTTTAGTCACTAATACAGTTTAGGCCTTGCATTGCTGGTTAATACCCAGCTATATAAATACATTTGACTTGTTGAATTGTACACTTGGCCCCATGTCTTTTGCTTGCCTCATGGGCACGTGGTATGTCTTACTTCTATACGCAGCAAGCCTTCTGCTGGACCTGTAACTTTGGGTGAGCCCCATGTTGCTGACTGGTTGATTATGGAGGATTCACAGAACCCTCCTGTGGGTTTTTAAGCCATAATTAGCACAGCAGTGCCTGTAACAGTGGAGAAAGCACTGTCCAAGGTGTTTACTGAGGGATTTGAAGTCACAAAAATTAACTCTGGTGCTACACAGACCCAATATAGTGCTGACTCGAATGGCTCGGATTCCTCTACCCAGTCAAACGTTATTGGAAAGGTGAGAGCACTCGGCTGAAACAATGTCAAGGCACAAACCAAAGGTAGTGTTCATATCTTTGCTGAGGATCAGGACCTACCCTGCTCACTTTCAGTGCTGGACGAATGGCAGACTGACACGACAAGATCTAAAGATAACTCTTGTGGTTCTGGATTCTAATGGCCAGTGGATGTTTAACCCGCGCCACTCAATATATGTCATCCCCACTCAGGGGATTGAATGCCTCCTGCTCACCTGACAAAATTAATGCATTTGTGGTTGTGCAAACCCTTGAAAGGTGAGAATTTTATGGAGGTGCTCAAGAAGCATGTCATTGTTTTTACCCACTCACCAAGGTGAAGAAGATCTTTTGAGGTAACGCTGTTAGGTGTTTTTTTTGGGCAGGCAATTTTAAGAATTAGATAAGATGTTTACTTGGATATGTGGATACTGCAATCCATTCAGGGATACATGATCAAATTTGATGACGTCTCTCTACAGACTCATCCTCCATTCGATTCTTGTTGGCCGATTCCCATCTCGACTTGGAACTTAGGAAATTGAGACACAAGGATGCCCTCCTAGTTGCTGTAGATGGCAGAGGTTTTTTCAGGGCTATTTTCCTGGTACAGAAGAGAACTGGAGGCTTCTGCCTGGGGAAACATCTTCTAGATCTCAATGCTTACATCATGTACCATCAATTGAAGGTGGAGGGCCTACACCTAATGAAATATCTTCTTCAGAACCGTGACTGGTTTAGGTGTGTAAACCTGAAGGAAGTGTACCTCTATGTTCCCGTTCATCCTTCCATTTGCCAAATCCTCCGGTTTTAATTGCGGGATATGCCTTGGCAGTTAAATTTCCTTCCTTTTGGCCTCAGCTCAGCGCATTAGCATTAGGGATTCATTGTTTAACATATTTGGATGACATCTTACTTTTATGTGAGAAGAAGTTGTGGCTACAATGACAAACTCCCTTTACTGTGGATCTTCTGGAGTCTCTTGGATTCATGGTGAATTGACCCAAGTCAGCGTTGGTTTCTTTCCAGACAGTTCAATTCTTAGGATTCGAGATTGATTCAACATCTTTCATTCTACAACTACCTACCTTGAATAGATATACAAGCCACACTTATATAAATACGATGAAGGGATTTCAGGAGCTATAACACGACACAGTAGTAAAAATCAATATGCAATAGATAAAAAATAAAATCCAACTCCAATAAATATATACAAAAAAAATTAATAAAAAATGGAATAAAAATAATAGATGTATTGTCCAAGAAATGTCCACTTAAAAGAATAGTTAATACTCAGTCTGTTTGTGAAGGAGGTCCGTCTGTGTGTGGGAGGCTCAGTCTGTGTATGTGGGGGTCAGTCTGTTTGTGTGAGGGGGATCAGTCTGTGTGTTGGGGGGTCAGTTTGTGTGTATGGTTCAGTCTTTGTGGGGTGGGTTAGTCTGTATGTGTGGGGGACTCAGTTGGTGTGTGTGTGTGTATGGGTCAGTCAGTGTGTGTGTATGGGTCAGTCTGTGTGTGTATGGGTCAGTCAGTGTGTGTGTGTATGGGTCAGTTTGTGGGGGGTGTCAGTCTGTGTGTGTGTTCAGCACCAAAACTGTTGTCTGTCTGTGTGTGTATGGGTCAGTGTGTATGGGTCAGTGTGTATGGGTTTATAAACTGCAATAATTACCTTGCAGGGTTAACTCCACTTCTAGTGGCTGTCTACTAGACAGCCACTAGAGGGCACTTCCTAGTTTACCTGTGCTAGAGGGTCGTTGGACGTCCTCACGCTGTGTGAGGACCTCCAGCGTTGCTCATTTCCCCATAGGAAAGCATTGAAATGCATTTTCAATGCTTTCCTATGGGGAGCGCTAATGCGCATGCGAGGCATTGCCGCGCATGCGCATTAGGTCTCCCTGGCTGGTGGGCGGGATTAGTCTCGCCCACTGGCCGACGCAATCAGAGGGAGGAGCGACACGGAGGAAGAAGAAGCAACGTGGGACATCATCGCTGCCTTGGGTAAGTTACTGAAGGGGTTTTCACCCCTTCAGCAACCGGGAATTGGGGGGTGGGAGGGAGAGGGGACCTGCAGTGTCAGGAAAACGGATTGTTTTCCTGGCACTGGAGTTTCCCTTTAAGGATGCATTTGTGTTCTGGTCTGGTTGTCGGAGTCTTGATTTTACAGGACACTGATTCTGGGAGTTCAAGCTATCCCGTTTCTTCCGTGTTTTCTCTGCTATGTCTCTGTTTGTCCTTTTTAAGAAAGTAAAGCTGCTTAGGTTTATCTTACCTAATATACACATTAACTATTTTGGTTGGTTCTTTGTTTCTATATGTTTTTTTCTTTGCTGCTATGGTGTGAAGTAAAGAAAAATATACAAAATACTTGTCTCCTGTCATTATTAAAATCAAGATTTTTAGTTCAAAGTTAACATAATCTCCAATTTTATGCCAAAATAGCTGCATTGGAAAAGGGCTCCAATGTAGATATTTTTTCCAACCTTTTTTGCCCTAATTTATGAAATTTGTTTTTTGGTTTCACTGAATAAATCCCCTTGTGTTTATTTTAGGCTTGAAGGGAACATCTTATCATTGTGACATGCAAAATGCCAGGAATAATTTGAATGTTCCAAGAAGCAAATGTTCTGAGCAGTAACCTTAGACTGTACATAGTATACAAAGTGGAAAATGTCAGACTCTTTACAAAATGTTTTGTTTGTTTTTCTTTCTTTTTTTTGTTTTTCTTTTACAGGTTGGATAGTTTTGATGAATTGGGACCATTTGACTTCAAAACAAACCCTTCTTGGTTAAACAAAAAGTATTTAGGTACAGTTTTAATATTTTCTGTTTATGATTGAGTCATTTATCATTTAAAGCCTAAAGCAGTACAAGTGAAACACTTTCATGCAATGCATCACATACGTTATACAAGCACTTAAACCTGGAGGATCAGATTCCCAAGTAAACACAATTGGAATACCACGATTAGTGAGAACCACAAATTTCCCACAAGTACCAATATACAAAAGAGCATAGGCTACAATGGATGATTACTTTTACAAAGTTTAATTTGGAGTTAAGAAACTTCAAGAAATATAAAGTTAAATCATAAGGCCTGTGTTATGTGTCATGCATGACCAAGATCTCATGGTTGAAACACAGAGCCTATGCAGAACCTAGATCCTAGAGCCCTGTGCTCTCTTCTGTGAGTGTTGTGTGAGACTTGGTATTGTGTGTGTTCGAGAGTGTATGTAGTAGCTGAGTGTTGTGTGTGGAGGGGGATTAAAGCTGTATGAGTGTGCAGGTGGTGGCAGCATTTTGTGTGTGGAGGAGTCAAGGTTTTGAATATGTGTGAAAGAAATTATGAGTGTTGCTAAGTGTTGTGTGTGTTTTGCCCCTACCTCCTGCTTACAATTTGGTGGTCCCATGGAGGGGGTGGGGCATTGTGGTCCTGGCCACGTCCAGCGCTCTGAGCTGAGAGGGAGCTCTTCAAGTGATCTGCACATGCTCTCGCCATATATACACTACATGGAAAAAAATATTGGGACATCTGACCATTACAGCAACAGGAACTTGTATGACATTGCATTCTAAATACATAGCTTTCAACAAGATTTTAGAGTGTTTCTGTGGGAAAGTTTGCCCATTTATTCACTATAGCATTTGTGAGGTCAGACACTGATGTTGGATGAGTAGGCCTGACTCACAATCTCTGTTCCAGTTCATCCCAAAGATGTTCGAAAGGGATGAGGTCAGAGCACTGTGTGGGCCAGTCAAGTTCTTCCACACCAAATTCATCCAACCATGTCTTTATGGACCTTGCTCTGTACACTGAGGCACAGTCATGCCGGAATAGAAAAGGGCCTTCCCCAAACTGTTCCCACAAATTTAGAAGCATAGCATTGTCTTGATATACTGAAGCAATACGATTTCCCTTCACTGGGAGTAAGATTGTACCTTTACATTGCTTCCTAGTAACACCTCTAGTGGTCGTCACTGTGACAGCCACTAGATATGCTTCCTAGTCCAGTGGTGCACAGTGTGCAACACCTATGTTTAGCATGGAGACGTTGAATGTTTTTTAAAGAGATGCATTTATTTACTGCATCTCTATGAGGAGATGCTGATTGGCACAGAGTGGTGTATAGCTTCCAAAGCAATGAGTTGGCTGAGATAGTCAATAGCTTTCAAATAGCGTCCAAAGCAATGAGTTGGCTGAGATCGTCAATTTTAAAGGAGGAGAGATTTCTGCTGCTAGGAGACCATCCCAGAGCTGGAATAAAGGTAAGTTTAATATTGATGGCAATTATTTATTTTAAAAAGGGGGTTTCATCTAAAAATTATATTTAATGCATATAATGATTATACTGTACTATTTTATTTCCTAAACTCTAAAATTTTACCTGTCATTAGCTGCAAAACTATACTCTGCCCCAATGAAGATCTAACTCCTCTTTGCCCAGCACTTTCTTTTTGTGCTGAGTAGTGTGCAATCAAAGGCTTCTTACATAAGCCTTAAGGGCAAATCTCCAATGAAAGTGAAGCAACATGAGCTTTGGCACTGTATGTTACTCACCCAACCGTGGGCAGCTTGTCCAATGTATCTTGAATTATCTTGCTGTGTGTGCTGATACCAGTTAAAACATGTGCACAAATCTGTTACTGCCAGTCAGGAATCTTTCAGCCCCTGGCAGCAGCCCAACATGCAGATAAAAATGGTATTCATCACTGGAATTAAACAAGGTCTTTACAAGATTTAAATAGGGTCTTTGCACTGCAGCATGATCACTTCAGTAAGACTGAGTTGTTATGGTAACAGAGAAAAATAAAAATCAGAGAACGGGCAAGAGCTTAGAGAAATTCGGGAGCTTGCCCTTCAGTTAGTTCCTGCTTAGGTCTCAAACATGTTTTTGCTCACTTGTGCCATTACAAATAGAACCTATATAATTTGCATATCAGATTGATTTCACCCATTAGGGCAGCACAGATCTTAAATGTCCACAAGTTCCTGCTACACGAGTGATACTGCAATGTTGGACAATTGTTTCAATCTTCTTTGGACCTTATCAGTTAGGCACAGTAAGTCCACTTCTGGACTATCATATTAACTTAGAGAGAGCCCAAGCAACTGTGTTGCATTGAGTTGTGATGGTACACAAAGTGGTCCTTTAATGAAGAGTATTTTTTTAATTAGTGTCATTAGTAAGATTAGCATACTTACAAATATTGCCTGGTAACAGTTACAGTCATGATACAACAAAAGAGACAGACATTTGTGATGGTTTATACAAGGAGCAATTCAAGCTTTAGCACGATTGGAGACAGTGGCGTAACTACCATGATTGCAGGGGTCGCAGCGGGCCCGGCACCTGCTGTGACCCCTGCGGCCATGGGCCGCTGGCATACCATTATGGCTGGTGCACTGCCGCAATTGGCCGGGGACCACGGTCGCAGGCTGAACAGCTGGAGGGAAGTGATGTGCTGTGTTGCTCCCCTCCTGCCCAACCAAGTGTGGCAGGAACTGCTACTGACAGAGCAGTTACTGTCAAATGAGTACTGCAACTGCAGCAAACAGATGCGATAGTTTCTAGTTACCATTCTAATTGGAACCCAGTAATTTTGTTATTAGGCACAGACAAAAGTGTCTTAAAACTTTCACCCACATGTGTGAAAATGGATGATTATTTTGTTCATCTTCATTTGGAAACACGCCAATGTTCATTTTACATTAATTTCAGCGCTTCTATACACTATCTATTTCAATCATCAATTGATAGTTGTGATTGGATGCATTCTAGATCAGGGCTTCCTAACCTAGTCCTCAAGTACCCTCTAACAGTCCAGGATTAAGGGGTTACCCTGTCGTGTGTAATGTTTTTTTTTTTCATTTCTAAAAGCACCTTAGAGACAACTAGGTAATCCCTAAATCCTGGACTGGTAGGAGGTACTTGGGCACTGGGTTGAGAGCCACTTGTTTAGATGAATGAATTGTAAGATTCTTTTGAAGGGATGAGTTATGGATTTTGAAGACTGCAGGTATACCTTGAGCTGTTTTATAGTCCACATAGGGAAAATGTTCATATTTGTAGTACAAAGATAAAACCAAAACTTAAAGCCACTGAGGAACATTGTTTAAACATATTTACAAAATGTTTATTGATATTCAAATGTTTTATAGTAAATAGTCAATGTTAATTGTAAGTGTATTTTAATATCTTCTGTAAATCACAATTATGCATTTTTTTTATTTCCTTTTGAGCAGTTAATTTGATTTCTCTGGAGTCGACCTTTGTGATTTGTGGTCCACTGTTTGTTGTGGTTGTAGAAGAATGGATATGGGATTATGCTTGTACAATTACAGTCGTTCATGTGATTATAACTACAATGAGTAAGTGGCATTCTTCTTCTAATATTACTTGGATTGTTATATATATATATATACACATTTACATACTCACATACACACATGTATATGTATATATATATATATATATATAATATATTGTACATTTTACTTAAAAAAAATGTAATTGTTTAATAAAATGAATTTTTCCTTACTTTGCCTTTTTAATGATACTAATCACAGCAATAATAACACAGAATAGCTGGTATAGTGCTGTGTATCACCTTTAAAGATACTCCTAACATTCAGGAAAAAATTAGTGCAGAAAATCTCCAGTCCACTAAGCTGAAGATGTTTCTTCCAATGTAACAGGTTTGGCCTGAATTTTGCAAGTTGATAGTTAAGTCACCACAATCTGCTGCTTAGTGAATATACTCCAAACGCACAATTTCATAAGCATCTTGGCAACTAAAGCAGAGAAGAAGATCCTTCAGTACTTGAGCACATCTAAAGTGATTTGCTGATGCTTGTGGAGCATTGGTTGCTAGGGACATGATGCATTGCTGAGTACCTCATCATTAAATTGACTGCTAAGAACAAAGAAAGGTAAATAAAGTAGGGTCTCTTAACCTTTTCTCTGAGTCAGAAATCAGTGATATTCAGAGAAGCAAATAACATTTTTAAATTAAAAAAGAAAAATGCAAAAGCAATATATTATTACAGAAAATAAGTTATCTGCAACAAAAATGTTGATACAAGTATCTGTCAGAAAATAATTAGCCAAAGAAAAATTAAATCACAATCAGTTGGTTCACAGTGCTAAAATAATCTCATGATTTCTTCTTACACTCAACACAATATAAAATTATCAGGGTTATTCACTAAAGTCCCAATGGCCCCATACCAAAACAAACTGGTTATGTAGAGGGCAATTTGGCCAGCCAATCCAGACATTCTTCACACTATCTAACAATGTCTGGATTATGCTAAACAGGCTCCAAAAAGGTTGAATTAGGTCTGAATTTCACTTGTACTGAAAGCTGCAGGACATCTGAAATCCAGATCTGAATGCATCAAATCCAGGCCCGGATTTAAAAAAATCCGATCTGTTTGGCCACTGGCAGAAATAGCAGTGCTGTCACGTGTCCTTAAAGGGTTTATCGTGTGGCAACTGATCAGCGCATTTTGGCAAAAAAACAATATTAAAGTAAAAATAAAATTAAAAAAAGACTACATGGGTCAATATGACTCCCATATTACTATAGGGAGGTTATAACCCTCCCTTATGCTCCTATTCTAATGCACCCCCAACCCACATGTAGTCAGTTTGTGGAGTTATTTATTAAATAGGGAGAACCAGGAAACATAGTGTGTTTCCCAGCCCCCCTAAGGCAATGGGTAGGGTCTCTAAATGTAATACAAGGGGTGTCTCCCCAGCCTACACCAATGGGCTGCAGGTGTCCCTCCCCCAGCCCAACCCATGTTCAAAATATGTCCACCCCCTAAACCCCCCAAACACTATCCTATTGTTACTCTTCCCTGGGTGACTAGGGGGTTCCTAGCCAAAACACATTAAAATAAACTAATCCTAACTACCAAACCTAATAATAGTGAGGGGGCTAACTAATACCTGTAGAATGAAAATATATACTTACCATCATAAGTCTCCTTTCTTCTAAATCTTCTTTTCCTCAGCCCCAAAAAAGATCAGGTTAAAAACCGTAAAAAACTTTACATAAATTAAAATAACTTAAACACTTCCTCCCCACTAAATCACAAAGAACCCTATAAAAAACTAAAAACACCATGCAACAATAAAATAGATTAATTTTTGTCCCGTGACTGCCAAGCCACTTGTTTTTTTATTACAGTGAGACACTTCTAACATTGTCTTGGATTTCGTATGTTTGGATAAACTTTTAAAATGATGTAATATTGCAAAATAATTTGATGTTTTGATAAGATAGATTATTTGATATTTTAACATTTTGAAAAAACAAATTTAAAATGTTTTTTTTCAAAAATATTAAACCATTTAAACAGCTTATCCAAAAATATTAAATCAAGGCAATTTTCTTTAAACTGCATGACATTCACTCACTATACACACAGATTCAAACACAATACATTACAGAAATATGTGCAAACATATATATGTACATATTTATATGCAATCAAATATCAATATATTTGTTTTCTAGGGATGTGGGGGGCAAAGGGGCACTTTAGAATTTTGTGCCTAGGGATATGACACGTGCCTGGCTACAACTCAAAGAGATTTGAAGCTAACACAGGATTATCTATTTGGAAATGTATTAAATTTATTATTGCAGTACAGAGGAAAAAAATAAACAATTAGCCACTACAAATGAAAAAAAAGTAGAAAAACTGCAAATATTATTATAGTTTTCATGCATGTGTAAGCCTGTTTTTAATTAATATTCTAATTTTAGCTAAAACAAAATCCTACAGTAAATAACTTTCATAATGTGTAACTGTACTAGTTTGGTTTTCCATTAAAATGTAAAACAAAGTTTAAAAATAAAGAATACCAATACGTTTTGTTTTCTTTCCCAGTGATGATGGAGTTTCCGTTTACTGTACATTGGTGGATATCCCTAGGTAAAGAATAGTTAAGTAATGTATGTTTGCATTAACCTGAACTGATGAAAATACATTTCACATATACAGGGCTGCAATCAGGGCCCAAAATGTGTAGTCAAGAGTATGTTTCTAGTCAAGAGTGTTTTCATGCATCTGAGAATTATGTCTAAGTTTCTTTTGAATTTTCTAGTGTGACTTTGGGGTTTGCTTTCCTCTCTTGGAGCACCCAGATTGAAATACTCCTTTTTATCTTGTGTGCATTCCTCGCTACTTGTAAAACTGTATTTGTATGCATGATTGGGAGTGTGTGCTGGAGGACCTTGCAAAATGGATTTTTTCACAATTTCTGATGGCCTTCCTGCATGTGAATTGATAAAACCCCAAACAGAGATAATGAATAAGAATAACATTGGGTTGATATGTGATTGATGCCTATAAATTAAATAATTAAATTCAACTTGAGTGGTATAATGGTAGCAAGCTGGATTACAAAGAGAGCAGGAGAACAAGAGGCTCTGCTTGCTTGGCAATAACCATAACTGAGGAGTTGCTGACATTCACCGAAAGCCTCTGGATTTGGAGATTAGTCACCAGAGCTGTGGATGAATATGTATTTTACCAAGTTGACAGAGGGACATGTAGCGCTGTTCCCAACTCTAATTGGCTGTTCACAAACTAGAGAACCCAGCTGATTCTTTTAGGTTGCCTTTACCATTTCTAGGTGAGCTTGTTTCTTTAAATATCCAATACTTTTATCTTTTCATGTCCCCAACAAAATTTCTAAGAAAGTGACTAGACAATTCCAAGTCAGGCAAATCTTTCTCCACTGGTAGTCTAGTGAAAATGCAAGTAGCTTTCTCTACATGCTTAGTTGTTGCCATCCACATTGTCATAATGGATACATTTTATTTAATAGAATGGAATAAAAATAGAATGGCAGCGCCAATAATTAACCCTTAAATGCAGTAATATAAAAACAAATACATCCTTACATCAAAATAGTCTTTCTTTTGTCAAATATCTCAAAAATAAACAAAATAGATTAATATTAGTGTAATATGTTCCAACAATAAATAGGTTTTAACTTTATAACAAGAGCTTACTCACACTTAATGGAGCTTCTAAGAGCTCTGCTGTATTCAGCATGGATGATACAATCCTATCTTATGATCTATAGTAATCAGCAGTAATGGTAGTTCTGTGAGAACAATATGTGAGGATAAAACAAGGGAGATCCATTTATTTTTTTACCACTTGTTAGATGTTTCATGGCAGTAGCAGAACCTGCTTACTAAACTTAGGGCCTTACATTAAAAAAGGAAATTGAACTAAAGAGTTATAAAAATCTATTGGCAAAATGTGCCAAAGGTGGAGACACGACAAACAAATAGAATTGATTAATAAATGGGAAAAATAATTGCAAGTACAAATACCAGAAGAAGAGTGGATGAGTTTCCTAAACAAATTATATAAATATATACACTGTCTAAACCTTACTAAAACGCAATTCAAACTCTCTAATAGAGGGTACCTTACACCGAAACGTCTAAAGAAAATGTCCCCTGAATCATCAGATAGATGCTGGAAATGCAAAGTTAATGAAGGCAATTTGATCCATTTATGGTGGCAATGCACACCCATAAACAAATTCTGAGAAGAGGTAATCAATGCAATATATCAAATAACAGAAATAAAATTACTCTTAAAGCCTGAAGTGATCCTATTAAACCTGAATTGGCCAAAAATTACAAAAAAATACACTAATGTTAACGCTGCATATCATCATGGCAGCTAAATTACTTTTAGCTCGAAATTGGAAAACAGGGACAATCAGAGGCACTCAAGAACTAATTATACAAGTCATATGGCAGGCAAAGATGGAAGATGGGTATCTTGGTGAACTTAGGAAATAGATATGCTCAACTAGAAGACTGGGACACATAGATTAACAAAATGGAATCGTTTACCTAGTATAAATCACTATAGTGCTGAATTTCCCTCTCAAGACCTCCCCAGCTCCCTGTTTTTTTTTTTTTTTTCCTTACTATCTTTTCTCCTCTCTGACCACAGTGTGCAATAATCAACGAGAGCACAATTTATATCCAGCTACAGGGAGGGGAGGGAACAGGGAAGAGGAGAGGAGAGGAGGAAACAGGATGAATGTATAAAATTCCCCAAAAGGGGCAGATAAACATATTAAAAAAAATATTGTAAAGGATGCAAGATGAGCTCTCTGTCTCCAAAGCAAGTAGGGTAAACCAAGACTGATAGACAGGAATTCTCAATAGATTTAATTTATAAGGTGGGGAGGGGAGATTCAGGGGTGGGGGGGGGGGAGGGGGGAAAACAGGGAGTTTAATAAGAAACATAGAAACACTTCAATTTCAGAATATGTTCATGATGACAAGAGTACCAAGGCCTGAATAACAGATGCACCAGAAAAAAACAACAACAACAAAAACAGGCTGGTACGCAACTGAAATATATGGAAAAAAAAATAAAAATAGGAAAATCCATCAAGGCCATGTGGTTGTCAATTTGTTCCTTTCAGACTAATAATTCCTACTGAGTTTCTGTATAAAACGGATGTTTTGACATTGATTGTCACAGCACTAGTTAAACAAGAGTAAAAATTTTGTTTTTCTTGTAATTTTCAAAATGTATATGGAAACCAATATGCTGACTGTAGTTCTTGGAGTATTGATCAATGAGCATAATGTATATAAATGGATGCAATTCATTTTTGAATCACATGTTATCATGTTAGCACAGTAACTTTCAAGCTTGAAATCCATGTAGTCTCATTTATTTTGTTTCCTTAAAAAAAATTACTATCTATGTGTACTGAAACAAAAAATATATTTAAACATTGCTTTCCAGGACAGAAAATATTTGAATTCTGGGGATGGGGTTTTGCAAACTATTTGGTACTGAGGAGATTAATCTGTATTTTTTGGTTAATCTGTATGTTTGGTTTTAGCACCCATGCTAAGAAATGTATGTTCTGGGTGTGCTTCCCAATACCATTTTTTTGGAATTCAGACCAGATTCCTTTTGGGTGAGAACTCTGCCCCTCCACTGAAGTTGCCCTTTTGGAAGTGAGCACAGGAGAGCATACATTTAAATATTATCTCTGAAAGCAGTTTAAGCAGTAAGCATTGCACATAGCATGTTAATCTTCCATGTCAAAATTAGTGTAGGACCCACTGACGTTGGGGTACTGTGACGCAGTGATGGGCTTAACACAATATGGCCATATGGTCTAGCAAAACCCCATATTTGTTTGCTACGATAAGTGATTTTAAATAACCTTGTAAGATTTAAAACTGTATTTTTGTACGTGCTGTTCCTTCAACTGTATTATGTATATATTTTAGTCTTTACAGTGGTACACCTGCTGTAAAATGCATATCCTCTGTATGCTCCAATTCATTTTATTCTGTGTCTAAAATCATGAGTCTAATACATGTGTTTTATTCCATCTGTGCCTTAGTTTGTTATTCTTTTATGAAGCCAGTTGTTCTAACATCTGTTGTCATTTCTATGCAATATGTAAAGAACGTGAGAAGCTGCCATAGGAAAAGGATGAAAATGGGAGGATGTATAGTACCATCTAGTGTCGACATATCATATTATACCTATTATATGAATAGAGATTATTTTGGAGAACAGGTTTCTCTGAACTTCCTCATCCTCGCTCTATTGCAAGTCCTAGGGATTCGGTTATTTGTGATGTACTGTGTGTCAGGTGATCATTTTGATCACTGTTCAAATTTCACATTGCTGCAGTAAACATATCTCAGCATTAAAATGTTTTCATAGAAAGTCTAACTATAAAATAATACAAGTGCATGTGCATTCTTGATATGTGTTGTATATTTTACAGCACATACATGTGCTGCTAGATATCTTGTCCAATCAAGAGGTAGCAAAAACATATTCACAGGTCAAGTCACAACTGTCCAATAAAAGGAAAAATAAGTAAAAAAAATAATTTAACAGTTGTGGCGCTTTTATCAGCTTCTACCAACTGCATCAGCCATGCACTACAATGAAAGTCATTTGAAAAAAAGGGGGGAGCAGCTGCAGCAGGATTCATTTCATTTCACATGGTTTTATTAAAAAGAAATGTAAGGAAAAAGTGAATGGGCAATTGGTGACCCTCTCACCTGCCCCACCATTTTATTTATTTTTTTATAAATCCCTTTTTTTCAAATTAAATAACTCTATCTGCTCCTAGAGCTCTGTTTGTATAAAACACCTACAGGATTGTCACTGATGTTCCAGACTGGATGTATGGGAATGCTTTGTTCTTGTCAGGGTGAAAGGGATAAGTGGATTGTCATTTGTCCACTGCCATTTTCTTTTTTTTTATTCCTTTTTTTCTACTCAAAATGGCTCCTGCTGCAGCTGTTCTCCATTTTACATTAATACAGTATTGCAAAAGAAAAAAAAGATTACAAACAAACATTATACAACAAAGTTCTTTTGTCTCCTATTTTTTTTTTTAATCCAATATATAATAATCTAATTTTGACAACTCAGAATGAGCATTGTGAAAATTGCTGATATTGCGTAGCCATGTTAGCACAGTAATAGTTCTCTTTTTTTCCCGCCGTTCTGGTTGCCTTAATGGCATTCCCAAAGTTTTCTCTGTACCAAAAATCAGCCAAACCAAACAGCAGCTTAAAAGCTTTTGCCCTGCATAATTCTAATAATGATGATGCCATTCCCCTGTGTGGTGAAATCTTGGAGTCAGACTAACCCTAGTATTGGGATGTAATAGTGGCATTTTGGAGAGAATCAAGCTTAAATTAGCAATTAAATGCAAAAGGTTTTAACTCTGTGCCAGCATGCATGCAAATGGTGTGGATTTCAGTAAAATCACTTCCAAAAAAAGCGAATACATGCACTGGAAATGCCACTAACTGGGAAAATTCAGTAGAAGTCTGTGTTTGTAAGTATGAGGAGAAGTATACATGTTAGCTAGGATTTGAATGCAAACATCACTCTCTTTTTATACCACAAACATACTATTAATCAGTGAAGTGTGTTGTTTTAACATAAAGGGGCAGAAAACTGGATACACTGACATAGTCTCCCAGGATGTGCTCTAGTTACAAAATGTTGCTCTCCTTTTTGCCCATAACAGTTTAAAAGAAACACAAAGATATTGCAATATTTCATTAGCATGCTTCTGTTACATAATATTAAATTGTATAAACTATAACTGTGAAAGAATAGCATTTTATTCTGTGAAGATTGTTTGTATCAATTCTAATTCTGTTTTTTTTTTTTTGTAGGTATTGGTTTGAGCACAATGATCTGTGGAGGACAAATCCTTGCTTATCTTCTCTATAGAGACAACTATATCTATCCAGTCCTTGATGATTTCTAAGTCCTGAGGTCCTAAATGATTTATTGAAACTACTGATTCAATGGATATAGAAAGTTTATTTATTTTTAAATAATTATCTAAACTTGTTTACAGTCAGCTAAAAGGATGTCTTTTTTATGACTTTGCTTTCTGTTTTAAAAAACAGAGTGCCTTTTTTTTTTGTACCGAAAACTGTTTACAAATACACAATTATAGTATATGTGCAAAGCATGAAAGTTAGTTGGCTATCACTCCAGTAGATGTACAACAAAACATCAAAAGAAAATGTAAAAATCATGTAATATATATAAATATAATGTGTTCTGGATCCATCAGTTACATAATTTATTGATAATGCATGCTACACTGTCATGTATGGCATGTTTCAGCTACATTTCTCCTATTATACAGCATTGCAGAATTTGTTGGGACTTGATTAAAAAAAAATAATAATAATAATAATTTATGAAAGCTGTTTGATTTAAAAAAAAATGGTGGTAGTTTACCCAGAGCTCTCAGCCTATAATTGTCATGAGATTGAATTGCACTTGCTAATGCAGAAGTGTAGTTTAAGCATTCTCAATGCAGATAAAGATTAGACCTCCACGATTTTTGTCATACTGCTCCAAATACACAAAAAAAATAAAAAACAGAACTATGCAGCACTTATATGCTTACAGCACCATTGCCACTATGAGTGCCCCTTTAGGGCAGTTTTAGCATTTTCTGAGGCATGCCAATGGGATTGTAGCTAAATGGTCCTTATTCAGAAAGATAATCTGAAACAAAAATCTAACTTCTACAATGACATTCCATTGTCTCTAAATCTTCACATTGTATGGGGCTGCAGATCGAAAATATTATTACATGGAGGAATTCTCCCCCTTTATTTTTTAGATATTGTTAATACATTGAATTGGGACATTTATATTTTCTTTGTACATAATATAATCTTTCATGTTCATATATTTTAACAAATTGGTAAGATGTAAAACATTGTCATTCTTGAAATAAACCTAGTGTCTAGAAGGGAACTTGCACTATATGTGATATGTATAGTATATATTATATAATAAGCATTCTTATTAACTCATCTGAATATTTCATATTAACACACAACAAAACTCTCTTTAGTGTTGATATATCTAAGCATGTTATTTCTGATCATGTCTACATCAACAACTTATGTTACAATCCCCTTCTAGAAATCCATAGGCAACCATCTAACTAACTTTATATTTGCCTTACATTTTATAATCCTCCTAAGGGCTTCAGTTGTAAATAAAATTGACTAAAGATATAATCTCATCTGCTGAATCCTTTGCTGTTATGTACAAATACATACTAAGCATTACTAAACATGCATGTGTTGAATCACTTGTAGCACTCCTTTCAGCTCTATATATACATATATACATACATACATGCACCTTTAATTTTAGGGGTGTGAGTGGGGTGTGGCCAGAAGCAGGTTGTTCTGATAAACTTTGGATGACTTTATAATAACAGTGTTGCAGTGCAACAAAAAATCATTTAAAAGACTAACAATGAATCATGTTTATACAGACTCATTTCTAAATAGGTTTCTTAGTTTCAAGACACATTACTATAACTATTATTGCTGTGAAGCTGTGTTATGGAGCTCCTGGAAAAGAGGGCCATTAATATAGAAAAGAGTCCATCTTGGCATTTGGGCCCACAGCTGTGTACAGGGAAACCAGCCTTGTCTGAAATGGAAAATCACACCAAATGTGTTAAATCCTGAGTAGTCACAACGCTTTCACAAATGTGATTAATTCAGATTTTCTACATTTTCTGTAAATTCACTGTACACAGACTCTTGTGTAGACTTTGTGCATATTTACTATCCACAGTTTGAGCTCTTAGATTTCTGCACAAACCAACTAGTTTTGAAGAGAAGACAGATTCATGAAAGCAGCAATCCAAAAATGATACACCAACAGCAGAGGCGGCTCTAGACTTTATGAGGCTTTATGCGAAACTCAAACATGAGGCCCCACTAACAAAAAAGTAAAAAAAAATATATATGCACACTGTCACATATACCCATTGATGCACAGTTTACCTGTGTATGTGCCTTAGAGTGTGTCTGGCAGAGACACACTCTGGCAGAGACACACCTCACTAACCAAGGACCCGACACAGTCTGCCCACAGGCGGTTTAGGCGGTCGCGAGGCCCCAGCCAGCGCGAGGCCTTAGGCAGCAGCCTAAACCACCTAATTAGAGAGCCGCCTCTGACCAACAGGCTTATTTACTAAACTGAGAATTCAAAGGGAATTTCAATTTTACATACCTCCCAAGTGTCCCTATTTAGGAGGGAGAGTCCCTATTTCGAGCCCAAATCCTCTTTTCTATCCCAATGTCCCTCCTTGTAAAGCTACAATGAATGTATTTAGAAATCATAGTGTGTAAATTAGATACATCAATCTTGTTCTAATTTATGTTGTTTGCATAAATAATTATTAGTAAATCACCTAAAATTTCTCAGATTAGACCCACCCCTGGTCACACCCAAATTCAGTTGAATGTAATTTAAGTATCCTTCTTTTTCCATTTGAAATTTTGGTTGGTATGAATACAAGGCCAGAGTAGCTGAACTTAAAAATAACTTTGAATTCACAATTTAGTGAATAACCCTGAATGATCCAAGATTAGGAGCATTATTATTTAGTAATAAGGTTTGTTATACATACACAAAGAAACATTTTCTACCCTTTACTGTATGGGCCCTGAAGAGTGCACTGTAATTCCACTTTGGATTTACAAAGGTTCTTGGAATTTCACTTTACATAATAATATGAAACAACCAATGTATTTCAGAGTCATGTGCTTGCATAGCAGTCCAGGTGTCTCCAGGATTAGATTTAGTTTCTAATTGTCAAAAATGTTTGTAAAAATCCTTTCAAACTGTGTCAAACTGGATTATGTACTGTATGTCGAAAATATTTTTAGCAAATTTATTTCATTCACAAGTAAAATGATGAACATTATAAACAGTAAATTGCAAATGGGTACTGAAAAACTATTTGTATATTTTCACACACACACAGATATTTAATTTTAGCATTTCATTTCTTTACATTTATAATACATTGTCAAAAGTAGAACAGTGGCAATCCTTACATAGTTACAGTATAATGAAGAGAGTTTAAAGGGACACTATAGTCACCCAGACCACTTCAGCTCAATTAAGTGGTCTGGTTGCCAGGTCCTCCAGGTTTTGCAGGGTTAATCCAACCTCTAGTGGCTGTCTTACTGACAGCCGCTAGAGGCGCTTCTGAGACGCTGGATGCGAAATTCGCATCCAGGGTGCAGAACGTCCATAGGAAAGCATTACGAAATGCTTTCCTATGGACTGTTTGAATGTGCGCATTCTGCTCTACTCGGGAACTGACATCGGCGGGGGAGGAGAGGTCACCAGCGCAGAGGGAGCCCGACGCTGGATAAAGTTAAGTGGCTGAAGGGATTTTAACCCCTTCTGTGCCAAAGGAGGGGGACCCTTTGGGTGGGGAGGTCGTAAATAGGCTATAGTGTCAGGAAAACAAGTTTGTTTTCCTGACACTATAGTGATCCTTTAACTGTGTTCTTGACAGTTTAGAGGCATTTGCGGCACTGGATTGTTATATTATAAAGCAATTCTAGGACACAGGTTGTTAAAGTCGGCTAAAATTATCCGGATGTTCTATATAAAACAAGCTATTTCTCTTCTGTAGTCATACATACTCCTTTGGGTGCAGTTAAAGTTTAATCGATTGTGTCATACAGAAAATACAAATTTAATATTTCACCCTCAAGAATAATCTAATCTCAGAATGTCATGTAATTCTCTTTTGATTAGAGATACAGGGAATATATTTTGGCATTTTGGACCTCGTCAAAGATGTGCAGCAAATATCTTTTTAGTCACAGAGATCAAACATTATACAAGTTACATAAATGCTAAATTCTATTTAGAGGCAATGATTAATTAGAAAATTCTAAAGTCCAAAGGAAATTGTGTCACTGTCTGACGATCCACATAATTACTAGAGATATTCCTTAACACTTTTACTATAACATCCTTATGCCACAAGGACATAATTATTTACTGAGAATTCAAAGTGAGAATTCAAAGGGAAATTCTTTAAAGCCAGATTAGCTGAATTGAAGCACTGCTCACGTACATAGTTTTAGTTCAACAAATGTGGCCTTAAATTTGAAATTTACTTTGAAATGTCCTGTTAAGTTGATTTGAGAACCCTATATAGCATTGATTTCACCAAATTGTAGTGAACTGAAAACATAAAGCCTGGATTTAAAGGGATACTACACTGCTCCCCTGCCCCCCCCCCCCAAAAAAAAATAGCACTGTTTAGTATATATACACCCAATGAAAACATGCATGCACTTAATTGCACATTTTTTCATTGGAGGTATACCTAAAAACAGATAGCAAAAGCTGCAGAGCTTTTGCAATCCCTCCTCTTCTAATCCCACCTAGACTTTCTGTGATTGTTCAATCGCAGACATCTCAATGCAACTCAATGAGAAGTCTTTGCAAGGAAGCTGCCCTTGGCAATTGGCTGACTCCTGAGTTTAGTGTAATAGAGCAAAATTAGATCCTGGGCCCTTTCAAGTCCAATATGTACGGCTGTGTCTATGGAGGATCCAGTGGTTCTCCATAGTCATCAATGCTGTACTCTCATGCATGCCCAAGAGTACAGCAGTGACGTTGATTCTGAAGGACATGAGGGACAGATTCAGGTAAGTAAATCCAACTCTTACATGCCCACCCCGAATACTCAGTGAAGATGTCCCTGTCAGGGGACTTTGCAAATTCATCAAAGTCCCCAAACGGTGACAGTGTTACTTTAAGAAAATGTTTAATGTAACTTCATGAATGCATGTTTGCATTTGATCATGCAATATTAGTGTCAATGGACCTTTTTTATTTTTGCACATAATTTAACCACGACACATTTTCAATGACATACATACACTTACAGACACACACTCTCTAATACAAAGGCACTAACAGACACACTCACTGATTTGACACACACTGACATACACGCACAATCACAAATTTTACACACACTGACAGACACCCTCTCACTGACAGACACACACTCATTGATTTGACACACTGAGAGAAACACATGCTCACTAACACACACTCACTCTTTTCTCACACTTACAGACACACACTCTCAATCAGTGGCGTACACACAACCCGTGGGGCCCCGGTGCGAAAACTGATCCATGACCCCCCGCGCAGAGTAAGCTTACTCTAAGCTTACTCTGCGCGGGCCTGGGCCGCAACACATGGCGGCGGGCACCTGGTCGCAGGGGTCGCAGGGGTCGCAGGGCTACAACCCCTGCGACCGCGGTATGTACGCTAGTGCATGCAGATACAGATACACTTAAAGGACCACTACAGACACCCAGATCATATAGCTCAATGAAGTGGTCTGGGTGCCAGGTCCCACTAGTTTTAACCCTGTAGCTTAAAACATAGCAGTTTCACTGAGGGTTAATCCAGCCTCTAGTGGCTGTCTCATTGAGAGCCGCTAGAGGAGCTTCCGCGATTCTCACTGTGAAAATCATTGCATTGAATAATGCTTTCATATGGGCGGTTTGAATGCGCGCACACACTCTCACGAAACGAAGGAATAAACACTAGCTAACAGACACACACATTTACTGACAGACACACATACACACTCACTGACAGACAGACACACACTCACTAACAGACGCACACAAACTAACACACTCAGTAACACACACACACAAACACACTGACACAAAAACTAACACTAACACACACACACTCTAACACTAACACACAAACTCTAACACACACACACTCTAACACACACTAACACACACACTGACACAAAAACTAACACTAACACACACACACTCTAACACACACTTTTTTTTTTAATTATTCCCCCAGCCTCCCAACCTCCTCACTGATTTGACACACTCACACATACACATTCTATCACACACAATCACAAATTCATTTTATTTATACTTTTTTTTTTCTTTTTTTATTATGAGGCCCACTCAGCCTACCTACTTTTGGGAGAGCTGGTGTGGGTCTTCCTCTCCCTGGGATCCTTTAGCAGCTTTAATCTTCTTGAACTTCCTTACGGCTCTCTTGCACACTGTTTAGTAATGCTGGGGCCATCATAAGCCCGGCTCCAAGCATCACCGCAGGGCGTGCCAGGGAGATCAAGAAGATGACAGCTCCCTCAGCCTCCCTCTGGACACACTGTATTTAGGCAGAGTAGGCACCTGCCGTTCGAGTAAGGCCTACTTTTCCTTACAACCTCGGCAACCACTGTAGTTCTGCCACTGGGTGCATGCAGGAATCAGCAGGGATCGACAGAGCAGCTGTGCCCCCACGAGTGATGGGCCTGGGAACTCACCAATGAAGTGTCCGGTAGCTCCAGTATTCTGATAGGCATCTGCAGAAGACATTTAACCCATTAACGTTGTTCCATGCCGTCCCCATTATAATGAGCTTCAAAGCCGAAGAGGCAGCATGGAACACGGTAGCAGCTTTCAGCTCCAGAGGTGCCAAATTACTTACCCTCCACCGCAATCCATTTTGGGGGGATGGTCTGCTGAATCAGGCCCCCAGGAGACATTTGATCGCTCTCACAGAGCAATCACATGGCCGTAATAGGTGTCTGTAGAAAAAAGACCCGTCAGGGTCGAAACGTCGATTGCTTCTTCTGTACATCTCACATGGAATAATTAAAAGTCATTTTTTTCACCTTTATTAAGTCCTGAGAGTGCATCCTAATGTCTGATTTATATATATATATATATATATATATATATATATATATATATACATATACATATATGAATAAGAAAAATGTATTCCTACTTACCGTAATTTTGCATGGCAGCACAACAATGGGCAGCTCCTCCCTTTCCCTAATTAGACAGGAACCTAATTAAATCAGAAGGTATAAGTAACACCTCCTACCCCTCCAACCCTCAGTCTTGTTTCCAGCAATATCCCAGGGCGGGATATTTGTGCTGCTATGGCCTATGACCAGGAAAAGAAAATTACGGTAAGTAGGAATACATTTTCCTTTTTCCTGCCCATATCCATGTCAGCACAACAATGAGTAATACCCAAGCAATAACCACGGGAGGGAAAGAAGTACACAAGACTTCCAAAATATGAATGCAAATTGACAACACACACACACCTCATAAGGACATTGGAAATGTAAAACTGATTGCCCACTATTGTCACATTATCAAACTGACCACCTCAAAAGTACCAAAAAAAAATGTCTGAAAATTATTGACTGAGGACCAAGCAGCCATTTACGTATAAATTCTAGGGAAATTTGACCACCGATGCTCAAAAGGGAGAAATGGAGAGGAGAGCAAACAGACCTTCAGGTACTGTATCCCCTAGGGCTTAGTAGCCTAAAAAAATAGCCAAGACTATCCATCAGCTGGTTGCTTATATAGAGGCTTGAAGACCTTTCTGGTCTATTAGTACAGATAAACAGACTATCAGAAGAAAGCCATAAAGCGGATCTATATAAATAGATCTTAAGACATCTATCTAGGAGGAGAAAGTTTCATTACTGACTTCACATTCTGATCAATAGGCTTTAGATATTTAGATATATTGTGGAAGGCAGTAGTTCTATGCAAAATAGTGTTTGAAGATCTGATATCCTTCAGCCCGTTGCTAATGTCACTGATAGAGCTAACTTAATATTAAACAGTTGTGGAGAGAGATATAGTCATGGTTGAAAGGGGTGAAGATTTCAGAGCCCTTAAAAAACAGAGAAGAATTCCACGGGGAGCAATGGTTAAATGCAGTATCATATAAATACGGCCAACATAAATTTAGATACCTCCATATCAAAGCCCTTTCATGAAAAAAGAGATCAGAGAGTGCAGAGATATATCTGAGGTGATGTGGCTAATTCCTAGATGAATCCTGGATTGAAGAATTTAGAATCTCCTTGGTAGAATGAATTTGAATGATCACCTGATTAGAAATAGACCAGAAAAAAAGGCATCTCAACTCTGTAAAGGTAGCCAAGGATATACATTCTCCATGGCCTTCAGAAGGGTATTAATTACTGTAGTTCAAAAACCCTTATATTTAAGCCCTTTTTTACAATATTGAAACCTTCAGAATGAGGAAAGTAGCACTGGACCTGATGGAAGAGGGAAGAACTCTATTGGGAGATCCTATAGAGGTACTGAAGATAAGTAGAAGTGGAAACCATGGACTGGGTACCAAAATGGAACTGTCAGGGTGATTGATATTGGCTCTTGCAACCTATACAGAAGAGAAGTGTTGGATGTTAAGGGGGTCCCTTTCCTGAATGTATTTGATTTTGGAGAAAGGTTCCTCAACCCTAGTGGATCGTATTCATAGTTTTC